GAATTTTTTAGAACTATGAAACCATGTAGATGTTTTTGTGTGTCGTTTCTTGTGTGGTAATTGAGTTTCTTGAGTTCAGGTCAAGGTAGCTATATTCGTCCATAGACTTCTATAGTCTTTCATCCTATATTCGTCTGTTCCATAATAATTAATTCCCTTGGTGTTGGCTGCTTTTTCAGCCCTTCAATGCTTCTTCCTAACGGCTTACTTGTTCTGATCGAGAACCGGACGCGGAGCAAGAAAGCGGAAATAAAAGCGATTCCAGACCCATCCTTTCTCTCCATCCTCTCTTCTAAATCAGCCGCTCCAGAGACCATAAAATACCTTCTGCTCGTGATACAAAATATAATTCTGCTAATTTTATTTTATTTTTCAATTATACTCCAAAAACGTTATTGTTCCTCTCCAAATACTTTATTGTTCTATTATTATAAATTACATGGTTGAGAAGTGCAAGAGGAGCACGTACATGTACTCTGTGCCAGCCCCTTCTTTCCGTTGACGCAAATCACACATCACTAGAAATCAAGTTCATTGCCTTACATACAAGTATAGCCTTACACCAACACATGTAAAGTAATATCTAATGTAAAGCAATGCACGCATCATGTAACATATCATTGTTTAATTGTGGAGAAGGGTAATTCATATTTTACATATAGTTATATAGTGAGTGATGGATGTACTGAATAGCTAAACAATTATATTGTGAATAATTAATAACCAATAATAATCCAAACTGAAGTTCTAGGGAAACAGAGGTGTTGTCTGTACTATAGCGTTGCTATTGCTATTGTTTTAGTATAATTACATAAAACACTGTACATTACATATTATAACTAAAACCTCTTCTACAATGCACCATTATAATGCAGTTGTAGCAACTAATCCAGGCATCATCAATATGTCTCTTGCTGGGCAAATAGGAAATCAGGAGAATGCTTAAAAAATGCTTTTAAAACCTTTAAGTTCCTCTGGACCTCTGTGATTCTACCAAGGCTTTATAGTATTCATCTGAAAAATAGAGACTTATAACAACAGCCAGACAATGGACGAAATACCTAATAATTATTGTGTTAAATCTAGAATGGATTCTCAGGCAGGATTAAGTATTGACTAATGCAAAGCCTGTTTACTGCAGGTAATTACTATGAGATCAATGTGTCTCTGTTGAATTCACAAAATTACTATGAGTTTATTTATCAGGCTGCATCCCTGACGCATCACTTTACTGTACATCTATAAATCATAATACCTCTTAAAAGGTGCATTACTTAGGATATTGTAACTGCTTGTTTTAACTTAAATATATACCTCCAATTCTATTATACACAGCCCATCTGTAATTAGCCCACCCAACTACCTCATCCCCATACTGTTATTTACATTGTTATTTATTTTGCTCATTTGCACCCCAGTATCTCTATTTGCACATCATCTTCTGCACATCTATCACTCCAGTGTTAATACTATATTGCAATTATTTTGCACTATGGCCTATTTATTGCCTTACCTCCATAACTTACTACATTTGCACACACTGTATATAGATTTTCTATTGTGCTTTTGACTGTACATTTAGTTTATTCCATATGTAACTCTGTGTTGTTGTTGTTTTTATCGCACTGCTTTGCTTCATCTTGGCCAGGTCGCAGTTGTAAATGAGAACTTGTTCTCAACTGGCTTACCTGGTTAAATAAAGGTGAAATAAAATAAAAAAATAAAAAGTAAGTATGTCATTTAAGGAATAGGTGGTAATATCAGTAAATTAAGGGAAAGGGGGTAATATCAGTAATTTAAGAGAAAGGGGGTAATATCACTTGATGAAGCAATGGATTGCAGACAAATAAATAATTAATGGTCCATTATTTTTATTCACTACCACACTGAATGATAACATTACTCTTCCTGCTAATTGTCTAGAAACCACCATAAAAAATGTTAAAAGAGAAAATCAATGTTTACTCCTCAAATGAATCAGGGAATCTCATGTTGCTGTATATCTGAGGAGAGATAGATGGACTGTGTGTTCCTTTCCCACCTGTCTGGAAAAGATAGGCCTACTAATGGCAACAGAATGGCTGCCAACAATAAAATGCTTTATTAACGTTTGCACCTTTATTTAGTTAAGTGACAATGTCTGAGAAGCCAGTGTTTGGAGGATATATTGTCAAGGGTGTTGTTAGGCCCGAGTCGAAGTCGAGGGCCGGCAAACCGTGTCAATATATCCTCCAAACACCGGCTTCAAGGGCATTATCACTTTTATACAACAGGTTACCAACATATTCAAATAATGATTGACATATTTTCATTAAAAAAAGTTATTTTCTATTACTTTATTCATACTATTTCATCCTTCCACAAGATATAGTCCCGACACAAATCTAGGGTTGCTACCCAAGCCGGCTGGTCTTTCGTTCTATCGGTTCCGTTGCCAGAGACGCGACCCAGTCGTTCAGTCTTTTTGTTCTGTATCTATTGACGTCGTTCGTTCTAAATGTTGTATTGCCATACTGGCTGGATCCCTTGCGTGCTAGCTAGCCAACTATGGCTAACTTACAGTCACATCAAACAATGCAGCCAGAAAACAACAAAGTAGCTGCATTTGCATTTGTTTACGCTGTTTTCTAGTGACATTTATTTGGATACATCCATAACAATGAGCTAATAAGCCATGATTTCAGCTGGCATAGGAAATGTGCTCTCTCGTCAGGACACTGTTGTTCAGAGGAGCTAGCCAACAACACAGCTAACACAATCACTTCAAACTGAAGCTGGAAAGACTTCAAACTATCTGCACTTCGTTTCGTTTTACCTGCTTTCTATTGACATTTCTTTGTATATATCCATAAAAATAATGCCGGCTGATTCATGATTTAGACTGGCTGAAAAACGCTGCCTATCTCCTCCCAACATGTTTATTACTATGGGACATGTGGAGATCGAATTTGAATATTGAAACAACGTTGCAAATGTCGGAGAGACAGACCGCAAGGTTTATACAAATCTCCACTGTTGAAAACTAAATGTTAGTCTAAAAGAAATGTCAGATAATGTCTAGATGCCTTTTATAGTGGAGATCAAGTTCATAAATTGCCTGGCTGGGCTGATGAGACAGTGGATTGCGCAGTCAGATGGAACAGAGTAAATAGGCATTTTAACGTCACAGATTTAGCCGGTGGTAACTTGTGGAATAGACATCGGCTACAATGCAGTTTTGACCAATCAGCATTCAGGATTACACCCACCCGTTGTATAATCATAAATAAACAATGCAAACAACAAAGTGGATGTGAGTTTGATGAAGGTTACTATGGAGTGTCACGGTGATATTGTGGCCTCCATACCCTGTGGGTGTATAGCGGACTTAAAACAAAAAAATAACGTCACAAAATGCAGCACAGTCAAACACAAGCCACTTATGAATTAATTGATGAAGTCCTGTTTTGCATTTATTTATTCGTGATGAGGAGGGTTCTTAGATAGGAGCCTAGTATTCACACACAATGCCTCTCCCCACTGCTCTCTATCCCTGTCCCTGGCCTTCAGTTTGTTACAGGGTGAACTTAAGTGTGAATACTTACATTTCTTAGCAATATTAACACATGTATAATATGTACTTTTGTTTTGATGTAATTACATAGCCTATTTTGAGTATTGTTAAGTTGGTTGTTAAGACTATACAAAAGTTGTAGTTAAGTTTCAAGCTGTTTTCACATTTTCCTTTGCCTTTCCCCATGATCTTTGTCTGTCTATATGCTGCCATCTGCTGGTATAGTTTAGACACCACCACAGAACACATTTATTGCTGTCACACTGAGGACATGATGATGGATATCGAGTTTCCAACTGGAGAGAGTAGTAACTAATCAATGATTGAAAACGACATCAACAACTGTCTGATTTAGCAAAGGTACATTAGGCCAGAATTATGGTCCTTATTGGACATTTACCAGCAGGTCCAGACAGTGGTAGGACTACGGTCCTTATTGGACATGCCCCAGCAGGTCCAGACAGTGGTAGGACTACGGTCCTTATTGGACATTTACCAGCAGGTCCAGACAGTGGTAGGACTACGGTTCTTATTGGACATGCCCCAGCAGGTCCAGACAGTGGTTAACTGAACACACACTGTGCTGTTTGACCAAAAGGCACAATGTATTGTATCTGTTTGAGAAAAGGGTGCGACTACATTTACATTACATTTCAGTCATTTAGCAGACGCTCTTATCCAGAGCGACTTACATGAGCAATTAGGGTTAAGTGCCTTGCTTAAGGGCACATCGACAGATCTGACTGCGCAATCCAGATTAGAACCAGCAACCTTTCGGTTAATGGCACAACGCTCTTACCCACTAAGCTACCTGCCGCCCTACAGTTTAGTAAATTAATAATCCACAGCTAGTCTGCATTATGCACTCCTTTTGAAGTGAGATCCCACCTGCTGTCATAACCCTTACGAAAAAAAGATTGCAGTCAGAGTGCAGCAGTTCGAGTGCAGTATAACTGCAGAATGCAGCAATTACTGCGTCTAAAATAACACAGCCGACAGCAGTTACTGCACTTTTACTGCAGTTTCAAATCTGCAATCTGCAGTCTACTGGCTAGGTCTCTCTTCAGTCTTTGGCTGTAGATTGCTCCTGCTCGTGTCATCGGAAAACAGCACCTATGCAAAACATAACCAACCATACGAGCATGAAAAGGCAATCGTTTCTGGCACACCGATTTGCCTATCATCATAAATAAGTTCCTCTTTATGCAACCACTCTCAACTGTGACATTTTGGGAATGGTATTGGGCTAACTGACCAAATTCTGTTGAACATACAGTAGGCTTTGTTATACGACGACAGAATAACGTTCATACAGGTCACAGATATTATTATCTAAAATAAACAAAAACGAGTTGTTTCACAACAAATGTACAGAGTTCCGCAGAAGTCTTGTCGCCTACTCAGGAAAGACGCGTCATGGCCCTCTTTCCAACCTTCCTTAATTCAGAGGGGCAGGATCCAAAAGCGGTAGATCGATATTGAAGATGGAAGGCGCAGCGACGCCCACTGTGATAACGTCTACCAGCAGCAGCGCGGAAAACTTTTACACCTCTACTCTGGCTTACGACAGGCACTTTTTTCGTACTGCTTCGGGGCTCCTCGTTTTCGCAGAAATAGTAAGTAGTCAAGTTTCAAGTTTCAAGCTCTAGGCTACGGGATACACATGGTATATGTCGTCCAAAGAAATGCTTACTTGCAGGTTCCTTCTCGACAATGCAATAACAATGACACATAATAAAATATAAGAATACGAACATAAATTAAATGGCTCAGTAGAACTGAATAAACATTTTATAGTAGCATAAGTATTATTCAAGAAGGCACATTTTATTGTCCAATATTTACACGTGTATTGGAGAAGGGGGGAATGGGGGTCAGTGTATAAACTGAGCAGTATTATAAGAGTCTGGTAGCAGCAGTTGTGATGTGTGTGTAGCATGAATGTAAATGTGTGTGTGTGTATGTTTGTGTGTGTGTCTGTGTGGGTGTGTGCATGAGAGAGTGCGTGTGTGCTAAGGTGAGGAAAATCAGAGCAGGTGGTCAGTCCAGTTCAATTGTTCAGCAGTCTGATGGCCCAAATCTAACTGCCTGTAGTTCAGGACCTGAAGCAAGGATATGCATATTCTTGATTCTATTTGAAAGGAAACACTTTGAAGTTTGTGGAAATGTGCAATTAATGTAGGAGAATATAACACATTCGATCTGGTAAAAGATAATACAAACAGTTCCATCATCTTTGAAATGCAAGAGAAAGGCCACAATATAATATTGCAGTTTAGGCGCAATTTAGATTTTGGCCACTTGATGGTAGCAGTGTGTGTGCAAAGTTTCAGATTTATCCAGTGAAGCATTGCAATACTGGACTATTTTGTATGAAGTCTGCCCAAATGTGCCGAATTGGTCAATTGACACATTTTCAAGTACATAACTATACAGAACATACAAAAATGATATGGTAATACAAAATGTAAGTTTACACACTCCACAATCCATACATGATGGATCATTTTCTTATATACTAACTTTCATACATCTAGATGGCCGGGCGGGGTGGGTGCTGTCTTCACCACCTGCTGGAGGGCCTTGCGGTCGTAGACGGAGCAATTCCCGTACCAGGCCGTGATGCAACCGGTCAGGACGTTCTTGATGGTGCAGGGCTAGTATTTGGAGAGGACCTGGGGCGGCATGCTGTTGTGTCCTCTTGACAAGAGTGGTGGTGTTGTTGGTTCATGACACGTCCTCGGTGATGTGGATGCTGAGGAACTTAAAACTAGTGACTCTCTCTGCTGCAGTCCGGTTGATGTGGATCGGGGCATGTTCCCACCTCTGCTTCCTGAAGTTAAAAATCAACTCCTTTGTTTTGCTGACTTTGAGGGAGAGGTTGTTGTCATGAAAACACAATGCCAGTTTACTTACCTCCTCCCTATAGGCTGACTCGTTGTTGTTGGTAATCAGGCCTACAACCGTGTTGTCGTCAGCAAAGTTGATGAGGGAGTTGGTGTCGTGCAAAGCCACGCAGTTGTGGGTGAACAGGGAGTACAGCAGAGGACGGAGGACTCACCCCTGGGGGGCCCCTGAGTTAAGAGTCAGTGTGGAGGAGGCGTTGTTGCCAATCCTCACAGCCTGTTGTCTGCCCCTCAGGAAGTCCAGGATCCAGTTGCAGAGGGTGATGTCCTAATTGCGACACAAACATATTGGTGTCCACGTTTGATACAATAATTTATTGAAATCAGTATGTCAGTGGCTTTCACCATCTTTCACACAATAGCTGCCATCAGAATTAATGGAGGGAATCAGTACTGCTTTGTTGATTAAACAAATTAAACACATTATGATGATCAGACAGTTTGTATTGTTCATACCTTGTATCACATGGCTAATTGTACCCTTATGATAGGGGCACAATTAGTTCTGATAAAGGGAAGAGTTTGCCATTTGCTGATTTCCAGTACTTTTTTACAGATTTGCAAATTATTCAACCTGTATATTTTATATGCATTTTATATACATTTTAGATATGCTGTGTGACCTGTATGACTGTTTTTCACAGACGGTGACATGACATCGTATTGAACACTGCACTGAACTGAAGGTTCAATTATTTCAAAATGTTCAAGGAATATAACTGGAGAAAATGAACATAATGTCAACCTACTTCCTGTAAAATAGGCTACTTCCTGTAATATAGGCTACTTCCTATAAAATAAGCTACTTCTTCTAATATATGCTAGTAATATAGGTGACTTTCTGTAATAAGACTACTGTCTGTAATTTAGACTACTTTCTGTAACATAGGCTACTTTCTGTGTAGACAGACAATGGTCTCAGTACAGTGTTTTATTTTCTCTGGAAAGGGAAGTTGTTTAAAAACAAGGTCAGTTTCATTGTCCCTTTTCCTTCCAGCATCAGGGGAGAATGTGACCAAAAGTCTCCTCTTCCACGTAGGCTAGACAGTCTTTTTTCCTGTGACACAAAGCAACCAATGAAACTTTATTATTTTAATAACAGGAAGGGAGGTTTGGAGTGCAACAGAGGACAAAACTTCCCATTATTTACAGTAGCACGCATTATAACAAACTGCATCTATAGATTTATCATAATCAATGTGTTACGACATTCTTTCAGAATGCTGTCAGATCAGATAGGTGTCAGTCAGCTGTGGGGTTAGTTTCTGTTCCAGAAATACAAACTATGAAAAACCACTTGGCAATTATGTTTTATATAGCTGTTGTACTGTTTTAGATGAGAGCTTGCAGGTAAACAGATCACTCTACCCTTCACTGGATCCTGTGCATATGCCAATAAACTGTTATTTGATTTGCCTTAGGCTGTATTATTTCCTTTCATTGTAATCTCTTTCTACAGTATGCCATCAAGATAAGCACAGCAAATGCATTTAAATACACGATAAAGTAGACACCACCAGAGCACAGCTATCACTGACTATGTGGCACCCCCCAAATGAGTGGATAACTGTATTTCACAGTAATCTGATTGAGACCACGGTAATCAATGCACGGGCGCAACCCTCCATCTTTCTTTTTCACAAAAAAGAAGCTCGAGGAGGCGGGAGAAGTGGAGGGCCGAATGTATCCCTGTCTCAAAGATTCGGCTATGTAAGTCTCCATAGCTTTTCTCTCCTCTTGAGACAAAGGATACACATGGCTCCGTGGGAGCGCTGCTCCTGCCTGGAGATCAATTGCACAATCCCCCTGTCTATGAGGAGGCAACTGCGTCGCCCTAGTCTTGCTAAACACGAGAGCTAAATCCCCATATTCAGGCAGAATGTGCAGTGCGGGCACTTGGTTTGGACTTTCCACCGAAGTCGCCCCCACGGAAACACCCAGACATCGCCCCTCGCACTGAGCAGACCACCCATCGAGAGCCCTCTGTTGCCACGAAATAGCAGGGTTATGGGTGCTTAACCAGGGAATTCCCCGCACCACTGGGTACGCAGGAGAGTCGATCAGATACAGCTGTATAGTCTCTTCATGACCCCCCTGCGCACACATCCTAAGTGGCGCTGTGATCTCCCTAATCAACCCCGACCCCAACGGGCGGCTATCTAAGGCATTAACGGGAAAAGGTTTGTAAACAGGTAGGAGAGGGATCCCTAAATCTACACAAAACTTCCGATCAACAAAATTCCCAGCTGCGCCTGAATCTACTAGCGCCTTATGCTGGGAATGACCAACCTGTGGAAAACAAACAGGTATACAAAAGTGCGCAACAGAAAGCTCTGGGTAAGTGGGACGTCTACTCACCTGGGAGGCCCCCCCAGTGCGTGGCCTGTTGCCTTCTCCCCCGGAGAACCCTCCCCAGCACCTGGCCGCAGTGTGCCCTCCACGACCGCACTTGGTGCAGGAGACAGGCCCCCTCGGGCTCCTCCTCCTCCTTTCTCTAGCGCCGGCACCCCCGAGCTCCATAGGGCTCGGCTCGGAGGTGCCGGAGGGCGGAATGGACGGACCCTCCTCGGGACGTCCACGGGTGGCCAGCAGGGTGTCCAGACGGATGGACATATCGACCAACTGGTCGAAGGTAAGATGGGTATCCCTGCAGGCCAACTCACGTTGAACGTCCTCCCGTAGGCTACATCGAAAATGGTCAATGAGGGCCCGTTCATTCCACCCTGCGTCCGCCGCTAGAGTCCGGAACTCTAGAGCAAACGCCTGTGCGCTCCTCCTCCCCTGTCTCAAGTGGACTAGACGCTCCCCCGCCGCTTTGCCCTCAGGTGGATGGTCGAACACGGCCTTAAAGCGACGGGAGAACTCGGCGTAGGAGATGGTGTTGGCGTCCATCTTCCTCCACTCTGCGTTAGCCCACTCTAACGCCTTGCCCGTGAGACAGGAGATGAGGGCAGAAACGCTCTCGTGTCCCGAGGGCACCGGGTGTACAGTGGTCAGGTAGAGCTCCACCTGCAGGAAAAACCCCTGACACCCGGCACCTGTTCCGTCATACGCCCTCGGGAGCGAGAGCCGAATCCCCCTGGGTTCCGGACCTGGGACTGGTGGACCGGCCGATGGGGTTGGCAGAGTAGGTGGAGGCTTGGGTACCCCGCTGGCCTCCCATCGGTGCAAGGTGTTGATGACGTCCTGTAGAGCGGTCCCCAGTTGTCGTATCTGGTCATCTTGGCCGCGGACATGCTCCTCGAGCGACTCAGGCGTAACTGCAGATCCTGCTGATTCCATTCTGGTGTGTGATTCTGTCAAGGGGTGCTGAAGGTGGGTGTGGTGCATGAATCAAGCGCAGGACGCAGAAGCTCAGTCCAAAATACTTTAGTGCAATAATCACGTAGAAAATAAGCACAATAAGCCCGAAGGCGAAATCACGCCGCACACAGGCGTCAAACAAACGGCGCACTAACATGTGTGAAAACCCTCTCCAAAACACTGGAGGGAAGTACGTAGCTCCAACACGAAAACAGATGAGCAATCACACACAAAGACAAACACCACCAACGAGAACTAAATAGGACACTAACGAGGACTAACAAGACACAGGTGTACAACATAAAGACAAAACCAAACGAACATGAAACATCGATCGGTGGCAGCTAGTACTCCGGGGATGACGACCGCCAAAGCCTGCCCGAACCAGGAGGAGGAGCAGCCTCGGCCGAAACCGTGACAGGCACCCTATTCCCTATGTAGTGCACTACTTTTTACCAGAGCTATATGAGCCCTGTTCAAAAGTAGTGCACTATAAAGGGAATAGGGTGCCATTTGGAATGCTGGCTATGTGCTTCCCTGTCCCCTCAGGTGTTTGGTCTGCTGGTATGGACGCTGATAGCGGGGACAAACTACTTCCGTGTGTCTGCCTTTGGGTGGGTCATGTTTGTGGCCATCTTGTACTGGGTCCTGACAGTCATCTTCCTCATCATCTACCTGACCATGGCTTACAACAGGATCCCTCAGGTCCCCTGGACAGCTGTGGTACGACACATACTACGACACATAATACAACAGCACATTATCTGACCAACTTGAAACTTGAGTGATTGGGGTTGTTTATTATATAGCTAGTAAATAATTGTGGAATATTTACGTAACTCAAAAGCAATGGAGTGAACTGCCTGGATGGTTTTGGGGAAGAGAGGATTTTTGTGTGCTCCTGACCATGTCTTTATGAATGTGATCAAATGAAGCCATTCTATAATGTGTACTAGCCTACAGTATCTGAGCCAGCCAGCCAGGAATCCTGTTGTTGTCATTCTACAGGACCTGTTCTTCAACAGTAGTGCTACAGTGATGTATGTGGTGTTCCACAGGGCCTGTTCTTCAACAGTAGTGCTACAGTGATGTATGTGGTGTTCTACAGGACCTGTTCTTCAACAGTAGTGCTACAGTGATGTATGTGGTGTTCTACAGGGCCTGTTCTTCAACAGTAGTGCTATAGTGATGTATGTGGTGTTATACAGGGCCTGTTCTTCAACAGTAGTGCTACAGTGATGTATGTGGTGTTCCACAGGGCCTGTTCTTCAACAGTAGTGCTACAGTGATGTATGTGGTGTTCTACAGGGCCTGTTCTTCAACAGTAGTGCTACAGTGATGTATGTGGTGTTCTACAGGGCCTGTTCTTCAACAGTAGTGCTACAGTGATGTATGTGGTGTTCTACAGGGCCTGTTCTTCAACAGTAGTGCTACAGTGATGTATGTGGTGTTCTACAGGACCTGTTCTTCAACAGGAGTGCTACAGTGATGTATGTGGTGTTCTACAGGGCCTGTTCTTCAACAGTAGTGCTACAGTGATGTATGTGGTGTTCTACAGGGCCTGTTCTTCAACAGTAGTGCTACAGTGATGTATGTGGTGTTCTACAGGGCCTGTTCTTCAACAGTAGTGCTACAGTGATGTATGTGGTGTTCTACAGGGCCTGTTCTTCAACAGTATTGCTACAGTGATGTATGTGGTGTTCTACAGGGCCTGTTCTTCAACAGTAGTGCTACAGTGATGTATGTGGTGGCAGCAGCAGTGGATGCAGCCTCAATCAGCCATGCTGTTAAAGGGCGCCATAACTACAACTGCTGGGTAGCATCCACGGTAAGAAAACCACCTCAGACCACCCAGACATACATTTAAATCACGCCAACTGTGAAAATATACCACAAATATGACTGAGTGTTTATGATCAAAGCGATATTAAAATATACAATACTAAAATGCAAATATATGCCTACAAGTCAGATAAGAGAGGTATGATGCCACTGTGTACCATCCCAATGATATCTATTTGGTCCATTTAAGCCTGCTCTACTCACACCTACTATTGTACTGAATTTCAATGTTTTCATCTGTCTGTTTTTCAGTTCTTTGCCTTCCTGGTCACGCTCTGCTATGCAGGAAGTACGTATATAAGTTTTCAATTGTGGCGATCGAGGGATGAGGAACAATAACCAATCACAAAGAACATCTAAAGTATATCCGTTATGGTACAGGATCTTGAAAAGTACAGATGGTTAAGTGCAACAACCACTCCTTCCCTTTGGAATACATTTCTCTTTGATTTAATTTCTGTTCTATTTCTGTTCTTTTGGAATTGTGGTGTGTTTCATCTGTTGGAATGACAGAGCCTGAACCCCAGGGATGTTTGTACTTCTTATGAACTCAAATGTTTTTTTAAACATTTGGATGAAAATGACTGAAGCTAATAAAGTGGCTATTCTATTGTTCTGAAGCTGGAGATCAAAGCTTTAACTCCAATATTAAAATGGATTGGACAGTAATGTTGTACCACACTAGATGGTGCTAAGATACAAGGCTGAGAAACAGGGCTTATGAAGGACATTACAGTTAATTATCTTTTTGATTATTCAAAAAAAGAATCATATACGAGTAATATCTTTTACTAATAGGAGTCAGCGACACTGAACAAAAATAAAAATATAAATGCAACATGCAACAATTTCAAAGATTTTACTGAGTTACAGTTCATATAAGGAAATCAGTAAATTGAAATAAATTAATTAGGGCCTAATCTATGGATTTCACATGACTGAGAATACAGACATGCAGATATGCAAAAGAAAGGTACGGGTGTGGATCAGAAAAGCAGTCAGTATCTGGTGTGACCACCATTTGCCTCATGCAGTGCATCACATCTCCTTCGCATAGAGTTGATTGTGGCCTGTGGAATGTTGTCCCACTCCTCTTCAATGGCTGTGTGAAGTTGCTGGATATTGGCGGGAACTGGAACACGCTGTCGTACACGTCGGCCCAGATCATCCCAAACATGCTCAATGGGTGACATGTCTGGTGAATATGCAGCCACTCTGTTCAAAACGTTGACATCAACAAACCGCTCGCCGACACGACGCCATACACACTGTCTGCCATCTCGCTGTCTGCCATCTGCCCAGTACAGTTGAAACTGAGATTCATCCGTGAAGAGCACACTTCTCCAGCGTGCCAGTGGCCATCGAAGGTGTGCATTTGCCCGCTAAAGTCAGTGTAGTGTATTTAAGTTAATGTTAATGTTGTTAATGTTTTTAAGTGGAACCGGAGAGGATGTTTATTTTAGTGTCAGAGGGAATGGTTTTAGTCTGACACCCCGGATAGGACAGAGAAGTCTGTGTGTTGTAGACAGGGGATTGGACAGTAGAGGGAGCCACCCATATCTTGGGAAGATTATATATACTGGGTAAAAACGACGAAGAGGTTAGAGCGGCCATTGCAATCTGGGACGCCGTTCTCCGGGTGATCTTGACACCTGTAACCTCATGCTGAAATCTTGTGATATGAATAAAACTTATGATCAAAGGTTCAGTATGAGCGGACTCCTTTGTTTATCAGCAATAATTGCCAGCATTGACCCGATACTACAAATGGCGTCACGAAAAGGGAGGGTCTGCATCTCTTCTTTGTTCCATTCAAGTGCCAAGCTGACTCGTTCTGAAGTCATGACCAGATAAGGGTGAGTTTTTTCTCACCGCTTTGGGAGTTTTGTTAGTTTGGATGCTATTTGGGTGTGCACTGGAGAGATGTACCGTTAGGACCAATGTGTGGCTCGTGTTGCGTTATTGCTGAGAACTGGGGGTCTGGCTAATCATTATAAAAAATGTTTGCACTGGTAAACAGCGCAAAAGGGGGGAGAGTCTATAGATTGGCTATAGAGATGTGTTGCTTGAATAGGAAGTCAAGAACAATTGATGGAAGTGAATAAGGCCAAGATATGTATACAAGTTAGGACATTGTGGATTTGATAAGCCCTCAGCGAGGCGACCCCTAGGGTGGGCCATAAATCCTGATAACGCATTCGGTGTGATTAGGTCAGTCTGGGACTGGGGTTTGGAATATACATTTTATTGCATGTTACCGCTGAGCTGGTGGTTGACGAAGCATTTGTCTGATGTAACCTCTCATAGAATATCCATAACTCACGGCAGCCTAAAGTTAGGAACAAGGAAAAAATAATTTAAGGCGCAATGTCGGGTACATTGTTTTCATGCCACATGGTGCATACAGGCTAATGCTAAATGCTAATGCTAAATGCTATCTGCTGCATGCTAACATGTGACCTTAGAGGTCCACTGCGATGGAATAAAGCCTCTTAAATTATGTTTGTGTGTGTAGAATTTCGGTTCTATGCTCTGTGAGCTCTGTTAAATGTGGAGAAAACGGAGTTACAGCAGGACTGTTAACTGGCTGTTTGGGTTGGGGAGACAGCTGAGAAGCTGCCGTCCACGGTGAAATCGTGGTGATGAATGTACTGCGCATGCGTTTGATTTTACGGCACTAGACTACAACACGTTGGATTTTACTAAACTACAGCGCGTGTGATTTTACGACACTAGAGTGACGTAGGGAGCATATGCTTCTGACACAGACGAAGGAACAAAGAGGAGAGATTTGAACACGAATGGAATCTTCTAGTTGTTACATCGGCTGTTGGTTAAAGATGAAACTGTTTTTGTGACCTATTGAATTGATAAATGAGAGAGAGATGTTGACGGATTAAAAATAAAAATAATTAAATAAATAAATAAAATCAAAATGTTTTTGAGCTATCTATAATTATTCCTGAGTTAATTCTTAGAGCGAATGTGAACGGAGGAATATTGAATGGTTGAAGTGACTCAGTGATTGCATAAACTGCTAAATTCTTTTTCTGTTTCTATGCTCTTTTGTCATATGAGAGGAAATAGGAACGATGGGACGAGAGGAGAGAGAGAGAAAGAAAGAGAGGTGCTGACGTTTACATCACGTGAAAAGGTTTTGGTGCTGTTCTGTTTACAAAATCTTCCCCTACAGGATATTTGATGTTATGACAATTTCACAGAGGCTTGGCAAAACACTGATTTAATAAAATTTGCATTTTGGAGTTTCTGTGCATCACTTGGGTTTGATTACAGTTGTGTTGGGAAATCGAGTACTGACATTATTCTGTAAAATTAAGATAATTGGGTGCTTATAAAGCAAGGGGGTTTATGGGTATTGTAGTGTTGTAATATTGGAAGTCTTTATTTTTGGATTGCTCTGAGGTTGACTACTTGCATTTACTTTCCGGATGGGTTGTGGAAAGATAGCCACTAATTGATAAATTGGTAAAATAGGATATAGAAATAAAAAATTGTTTTTGATTATTCATAATTTTTTAATTGATTTTTTAATTGATTTATTTTAATAAAATAAAAATAAATTGAATAAATTTTTTTATAGATTTTTTTGATATTCATATTTTTGTTGATTGATTAAAAAAAAAAATGTTTTTTTACATTTACATTACATTTTAGTCATTTAGCAGACGCTCTTATCCAGAGCGACTTACAGGAGCAATTAGGGTTAAGTGCCTTGCTCAAGGGCACATTTACGTCATTTAGCAGACGCTCTTATCCAGAGCGACTCACCAATTGGTGCGTACACCCTATAGCCAGTGGGATGACCACTTTACAATTTTTGGGGGGGGGGGGGGGGGGGGGGGTAGAAGGATTACTTTATCCTATCCCAGGTATTCCTTAGAGGTGGGGTTTCAAATGCCTCCGGAAGGTGGTGAGTGACTCCGCTGTCCTGGCGTCGTGAGGGAGCTTGTTCCACCATTGGGGTGCCAGAGCAGCGAACAGTTTTGACTGGGCTGAGCGGGAACTATGCTTCCGCAGAGGAAGGGGAGCCAGCAGGCCAGAGGTGGATGAACGCAATGCCCTCGTTTGGGTGTAGGGACTGATCAGAGCCCGAAGGTACAGAGGTGCCGTTCCCCTCACTGCTCCATAGGCAAGCACCATGGTCTTGTAGCGGATGCGAGCTTCAACTGGAAGCCAGTGGAGTGTGTGGAGGAGGGGGGTGACGTGAGAGAACTTGGGAAGGTTGAACACCAGACGGGCTGCGGCATTCTGGATGAGTTGTTTGTTGTTGTTTAGTTTATATTAATAATTAAAGGGGGGAAGCCATAGGCTATATAGTCTAAAATAAAATAATTCACAATAAAGGAATATAAAAGAGTTGTTACAATGGGGAAAAAGATATCAGGACTATGAAGGTAAGTACACCTGTTGATATAGTACAAAATAGTAATCCTTTAACTAAAGTATTGCTAGGTTATCCGGCAAATAAAACAAAAGTTGGCCTGACATTGAACAAACCATAGCTAGTAGAGGGAATCTTAACCCTGACGTCATCAACATGATGAAAGTGATTGAATAATAGATAGAGGACAAGCAGAAACGACAATAAAAATGAATCCAAACCTCCAGAAGTAAGAAAAAACCGAGATGTCTGGAAACTAAGAGAAGAATGAGGTTCGGAAAGATGAAGATAAAGATGAAGATACAGAAGAGAAGAAAAACTGCTGAGAAAAGAATCCCAAGGATTGGAGGAGAAGAATACATTGAGGCCAAGGAAAAAGGCCACTAGTAAGAAGATGATGGAAGATGATATTTCGAGGACAAAACTTAGAATATAAGCTGTTGAAGAATACTGATATGTCAACAACAAGAAAGAACAGGACCAAGAAACTCTCAGAAAACTCAATCAAATACAACTGGTGGAGAAGAAGAAGGAGAAGAAACAAGCTTTGGTTATGAAGAATCAGAGTGAACCAAATCAACAATCACTGCTACAGCTTCAACTGAACAAGGTCAAATGCAATTGTACCAGCCACCAAGGGCGGTACCAGTTGTTTCATATCCACAGCCAGTTTCTGGACAGACACAGAATTGGAGAGGAAGAGGACGAGAAGGCTTAGAAGGAGGAGGAAGATTTCAGCCACACTTCCAGCAACTTTCAGAAGAGTGTTATAATTGTGGACAGGTTGGTCACTTTACCTGTGAGTGCAATGCGCCAGGAGGAAACAACAGAGGAAATTTCTGAGGAAGATAAAGGAGCAAGTGAAGATCACCTGTTCTCTAGGTGAACCCTTAAAGGAGCAATGATTCTAGAGTGCCTAGAAGATACGAAGGGGGGTGTCAGCTGATAGCACCGATTAGAGAAGAAGAGAAAATATCTAACAATTGAAGTAAAAACAAAGGACTAGGAGAGGTGAATAGTGGAAAAGCTTTTATCTGTGTTCAGCCTAAAGAGGTTAAACATCTCACTATGTAAAATTAACTAATTGGGATAGGATTTGAGGGAGTAAAACCGCTGATTACTCTTAAGGAACCAATTGAGCTCTGCTATAAAAATCAAAGAGAAATTAAAATAGACATACTAATATTAGAACATATACCTATTGCATTGTTGGGAAGAGATGCATTGTGTAAATTGAACTGTACAATAAGATGTACACTAGACGGCTGTCTGGTAGAAGATTTTAAATGAGTAGGGTTTTTGGGAATCTATTAGACTGCCTATTAGACAATATGTCTGAAAAATAAAGTTAAAAGGGGTGACTGTTATTCTTGGTTACATTCCTACACCAAGAGATTTCAGACTAGGCTAAAAGGTGTTTAGTC